CCCGAAATTTAGTACCAAAGTATTTTATACTTAGTACCGGTTTAGTTTAGTACCGGAAATTTAGTACCAAAGTATTTTTGTTTACAGTTAATGATCAGAAATGTAAAATGATCGAAATACTATTTTAGATTTTAACCAATAGACTAATAAACGTAAGATGAGTAGTAAAATAAGTATCGTATTTTCATTGGCCAAATTTTGGCTAAGTCAAATATCAAACAGGTTGACAAAGTTTTATGATACATTTACAAATAAGTTTAGACAGATTACAGTAATTAAATTGTATTTCGATTTTTTAATTATTTTGAAAATATATAATTAATTAAAAAATTAATTAATTTAAAAAGTTAATAACTGAAAAAGTAATCACACTAACCTGTACTATCCATCCATCATTCATTATGATAATTCTATAAATTCCTGGAAAACATAAATGATAGCAGGGGAATATTACTTTTTTTATCAGTGGCATTTTAGTTACAGTTTCAAACTTCAATAAATCAGTTTTTCCGGTATCCATTGCAAATGGAGCATACTGTAAATGTAGTAACAAATTCAACCCACTACAATGAATGTTAAAATTGAATTCAATCACCAACGGTTGACAAATAATTGGATTTTCCGGAATTTTCCAAAATTTTTTTTGGTAATAACCGAAAATTTGAAACTTTGAATATTATCAATTAATAATTCATAGTGATCAGATGGAAATCCAAAACATCGACATGGAAAGATTGCATTTCCCATTGCATTTAATGAGCAAATAGAATGATTCATATGATGAATTCGAAGGAAACTTGCTCGTGGACTATAAAAAGGCACCGCGGTAAAAAGAATTACTTGACGGGGGAAAATAAACTCTTGTGATTGATTATTGCTTGATAAATCAGAAATAATTCGATGAATTAGGAGGAATAAAATTGAAATGAAACATTGGAATGCAACATGCATAACAGGACATTCACAGAATATCCACGAATATGAAGATTGTAATAGTTGTGACAATGATGATTAAATATGCAGATGGTAGCGACAAGATGACATTATAGCGTCATCAGTATGTTTTTGGATATCACTGAAATGAATGATTTAAAGGGAAATGTAAATTTAATTTATGAATACAACTATTAACCTGAAATTTTGCCAAAATACTAATATTTAATTTCAGGAAAGCGTAAAATCACAAAAATTAATTCTTCGAATTTGAAAAATTTCTAGAAAGGATAAAAAAAAGCAAAACAAAACACCAAAAGTTAAAAAGTTCAAAGTTCAAAGTAATCTTCAGAAATTGACAAAGTGGAAACCTTTTAATGAGAATTTAACAATACCATGCATAATTTGTCACAAACACATTGCCCTGAGCATCACAAAATGACAATGCTATTGAGATGAGGCCAAATGCCTAGCACAGCCAGACAATTCACAGGCCACTTCATAATCCTATGACTGTGATAAGAAAGCTTTCCTTTGGCTTATAAGATTGGACTATTTTCAGTACATCTCTGCTTTTCTTTCGAAGAAAAAAAGAGAAAGATAAAAGATGATAGTGCTTTTCTTCAGATGACACTTCACCTACACCTACATCTAATAATCACTAAAAGTTATTTTATCCAAAGTAAGCAATCAATCGATATATGCAAAATTGTGCGATACAGATGAGGGTAATTTCAGTTATCGTAATTAAATGACATTACTGATAACAGGATGATAAGCTGATATCATTCGTTAATATCATCAAATCATTACTATTTTCAAATATAATCATAAAATATATCAATCAAATTTCAAAACAAGATTTTGGAATAATTAATTTAGGTAATTATGCAAATTTTATCGGTAATATTTTCACCAGTAATAGCAGCATCAACAGGAAATTTATTTATTTAGTTAGGAATAAAGGATGGCAGTTGTTTGATTATGTATGAATGAAGGCGCTGAAAGGACGAAGGCGCGTCTGAAAATGGACATGTCCCTCAAAATGAGGGAGAGAGAGAGAGAGAGGAGGGAGGGAGAATTAGTTTAATTACATGTCAGTATACTAA